AGAGAGAGAGAGAGAGAGAGAGAGAGAGAGGTGTGCGTGTGTGTGCGCGCGCGTGTGTGTGTGTGTGCGAACATTCATTGTAAATTATTTTAACACCCCTATCAATCCATATTAGAAGATTGAGGAGCCGGGTTTTTACTTGAGAACCCAAACCGAGAAATAAGTGGCAATCCTTGATCCCCGGCCTGTGTTTATTTCACATTTGGTAGGCCGACTTGAAGAAGAAAAGACTCTTATTCTAACATGCAATTCCCTAGCAATTGCATTCACATTTTTAACGCAGGTATTTTGCACCCTAGTTGACACAATTTAGATCATAATATTATATATAAGAGGTGGATTTCGACCCCGCCTATCCAGGACCAGTCCGGGCTGAGAGAGATGTATACATGTACAGCGTCCCAAAAGAAACAATTCGTCATAGACAGGAATCGAACTCAGATCTTCTGTATGGGACAGCGAAGCGTCACATCTGTCGAAGTTCAGGTCTTTCTCTCTAACGCTCACTGAACGTAGGTGGAAATGGTCCGTGAAATTGAAAAAAAAAAACCCAAACAAAACAAACAAACAGACGCAAGTGGTGAATAAGTGATTTTATGAATAGAACTTGTTTGAGCAAAACAATATGATCAAATGTAAGTCAGTCCAAAAGGTCGGAAAGTTTTACAGGAAAAATATCCAAATTGAAAAATGTAGAGACAAAGTTGCTCTTAAGAAAGCATAAAATTGATGAAAATGGCCAGCAAGGAAATGGAAAAGTGCCTTGAATTCTTCATTAACAAATCCTCAAGGAATCAACGTAGCCTTAAGCAAAAACCACCAAAAAAAGTTAAAAAGAAATTTAGGTAGCCTAAAACTATTGTTAGATATATATTGAGAAATCAGTTTCAGTTTCAATTGATTATAGTGGTAAGACAGATTTTGGTCTCACTGTGTAGTCCACGGCGCCCACGGCAAAGCAAAGTACATGCAGTTTTCAAGAGTCTAGTAAGTGTAATGTAACCAAAGATTTTCTACTACAGTACCGTAGTCTCCGTTTAAGATCCCAGTGCTCGGGAGCAAAGGAAATACGGGATCTTAGCCTACAAAGCCAAGGAAGAATCTACAGTGACCCATGAACTGACGTGACCCCTGAGTGGGTTTATGACATATGCGAGCTGAGAATGGTCAATGCAACTTTGATTACCAATCACAGTGGCTTGAGGCATGCCATACACTCATTTGCCTAAAGTCTCGAGATCTTTTTATCTATGTTTATCCAGTTTCCCCTCCCCTTTACCTGTCCAAAATTGTTAGCCTTCCGTCTCTGATTGAGTCCCCCCGCCTTTGCCGTATGCACCATTACGTTGTGACCACAGCAATTAAAATTAAGGCTATCTCGCAAATCCGGGAATAGAGAAAAACTGCCTTCACTGCCTTCAATGGTCAGGGAAGAGTTCACAGTTTGATGTGATCCTTCCTGGAGCTAACTTGTATGCCCTACCCACTCAGCCAGTGATGTAAGTTTAGGTGGCGAGCTCAGTTGCGAGTGCGAGGTTTGGGGGAAAGAAACGCATCGGTCAGTTCACACATCGGTGTGATCCCGTCTTGGGCAAACATTGTACCGTTTCATGGAGTTTTACAGCTTGTGATCACTTTCATGAGTGTGGCTGATCTTTGACGCGACGGGCCGTTCTTTGATCCCTACTTTTAATTCTTGGTTGATCGGCTGTTCCCGCCCGGGTGTTTGTTCCGTAAATTATGATCAGAAATGCCGGCACTTACTCTTTCTTTAAGCTTCAAAAGTACTCAAAATGTACTTTAAAAATACTCAAAAGTACTTTCATAAAAAGTATCAGAGTAGAGTAAAAATACTGGTTCTCAGAAATGTACCAGAGTACAGTAAAAGTACCGAAAATTGTAACGTAAGTAGTACCGTTACAACCAGCTCTCTCTCTCTCTCTCTCTCTCTCTCTCTCTCTCTCTCTCTCTCTCTCTCTCTCTGTGTGTGTGTGTGTGAGAGAGAGAGAGAGAGAGAGAGAGAGAGAGAGAGAGAGAGAGA